TGTATAATGCTTTAAATGTTATGGTGCATTATATAATTTTACCAAGCTTAATAAAAAGAAGCCAACATGCGATTTATTATTTTGAAGTGTGACTGTACTGTTTTTTTAAACATTGTTGTTGCATTTTGAAGCACACTTTTTCTCAATTTAAAATTTAAATTTAAAATGAGTTTTAAAACTATATTTTCTTTTATTTCCAAATGCTACTGTATCATTTTTTAAACTTTATAATTGAATTTTGAATCATGTGAATGAGCAGTTGAATCATTAAAAACTCTTTTGTTTGAATCTCTTGTTTTTCATTAGTAAAATAAACTTTTTTTAACTTTGCCAAACAAAATTATAAAAATAAAAAACATCAAGATGCATATGAAAAATTATTATTAGAAAGTAATTAATGATGCAAGTGGAAATTCTTTTTTTCTAAAAAAACAAAGTTTTACAATAATGAAAAATGTTCAAAACATTAAAAATATTATGTTTTAAACTTTTGAGATTCAAGATAAGTTTGATTAAAGATTGAGAGGGAATAATATAATACTTTTCTATAGCGTCCTGATCATTTCACAATTTGCTGAAGTCATTTTTACACTTTATGAGCAGAAAAAAAAATATTTATTTTTTCTCTTACATCACAATAAAACAAACAAATCAAAAACTATTTTCTTATTGGTATAAAAGAATAATATTATTTTAAATCAGAAATTAGTTTTTTTGTTTGTTTGTTTTATTAAGATGCAAGAGAAAAAAAAAACAATTTTTTTTAAATTTCTTATAATCTGTAAAAATGACTTGAGTGATTGTGAAATAATCATGAAGATATATATAAAGTTTCTTTGCAGTTTTGGCTTTCAACATTTTTGCTTCACTTGATGAAACCTTTGTTAAGATTGATAAAAACAAACAATACAGATATCGACTACGACAAAAATGACAACACATCTTTAATTTAATTAATAAATAAATTAATTTACTTTTAAACAAACTGTTTTTTATTAAATCTATTTAGTAGTCGGACGTTTAATTTTTTTTTTTTTTTTTTTTTCATTAATTTCACCTGAGTAAAAAAAAAAATCTTTTACACCTACTATTTATCATAGCGGACAACTCAAATGAGAAATGAAAACTGTTTTAGTTGCCCTGTGGGCAACTGGGTAAAAACCGTAGGGTACACTGCTGCACACTTTATTGGAACTCTGAAAATAAAACAGACGTTCAGGATTTACTTATAACAAACAACAATAAAATTTGAAAATACAAATATGAAACCACCCTTGGGCAAAACAAAACAAGGTCTTCTTATACTAATATGTTAGAATTTTGGAATAGATTATATTAACATGTTACAGTTTTAGAATAGATTATATTAATATGTTAGAGTTTTGGAATAGATTATATTAATATGTTAGAGTTTTGGAATAGATTATATTAATATGTTAGAGTTTTGAAATAGATTATACTAATATGTTAGAGTTTTGGAATAGATTATATTAATATGTTAGAGTTTTGGAATAGATTATATTAATATGTTAGAGTTTTGAAATATATTATATTGATATGTTAGAGTTTTGGAATAGATTATATTAATATGTTAGAGTTTTGGAATAGATTATATTAATATGTTAGAGTTTTGGAATAGATTATATTAATATGTTAGAGTTTTAAAACAGATTATATTAATATGTTAGAGTTTTAAAATAGATTATATTAATATGTTAGAGTTTTAGAATAGATTATATTAGTATGTTAGAGTTTTGGAATAGATTATATTAATATGTTAAAGATTTGGAATAGATTATATTAATATGTTACAGTTTTAGAATAGATTATATTAATATGTTAGAGTTTTGAAATAGATTATATTAATATGTTAGAGTTTTGGAATAGACTATAATACTATGAAGAGTTTTCAAATACATTATATTAATATGTTAGAGTTTTGGAATAAATTATATTAATATATATATATTTACAGACACCTATAGATATATGTATAAAAGATTAAAAATCATTTAACAAAATTTTTATTTAAATAACAATTAACAGCATTTTATTTTTGTTTCGTAAAGCAGTTTAATGAGTCTTTGATCTCTTTTTGTTTTTGAGTCTTTTTGTTAAGTATACACTTGGAAATGCTCTAATTATCTAAGTTGCCAAAGTCTTCTTTTAAAACCAATTGTTTCGCAAGTTTCATTTTGCGATTTGTTATTATAGAACTTAAACTTTTATTTTTCATATTATGCATTGTGGAAGGTGAATTTTTGCAGGTGTAAATTCTGCAATTTTGAAATACGGTTGTTAAAGATTCAAAATATTTTGTCTTGTATTATGGCGAATAACCCTAGTGTACATACCCTAGAGCAAACAACCTAGCCTGTGGGTTCTTTTGATAAACCTTTATTATTAAATTTTTTCAAGTTTAGTTAGAAATTATCTCAATTTTTTGTTTAAACTGTGAAAAAATATTGTGTACCTTTTATTTTGTATATCTATACCTGAGTAAGCAATACATAAGTAATTTGACAATTTGTACAGTGCAATGCTAAGCCAGTGTGCTGAATTTAATTACAGTTGAAGTTTCGATGCAAAACTATACAGAGTTTTATATTTAAACTAGTTGTGATAATTTGATATGAAATAAATATTAAATAAAACCATAGCCGAATTCTCTTAACAATAAATATAAAAACAAAACATTACATGGTACCATAAGTAAACTAAAGACATTTTAGAAGAGATTTTGGAAAACTACTTACTTTAAAAAAAAAAAAGAAGATGGAGCACTTTTTTGCCTAAGCCAAACGAAATGGACTTCAATGAATCCAATATAGCTGTTACATGGAAAAAATGGAAACAAACTATGCAGTTGTATCTAAAAGCAGTGACAAATGGAAACAAACTATGCAATTGTATCTAAAAGCAGTTATGACAAATAAATCTGAGGAAGAAAAGTACGCGACATTCTTATTTGTGATCGGTGAAAAAGGAAGAGAAATATTCAATACATGAACTTGGAACAAAACAGAAAATGACGACGGTGAAATCAATGACATCACCGTAAAAGAACTTTTTGAAAGATTCGAAGAATACTGTTTACCAAAAAGAAATCTGGTTTTGGAATGAAGAAAGTTTTTCTTACAAAAACAAGATGAAATGAATCATTTGATTTCTTTGTAAGTGATTTGAAAAATCTGGCTCAAACATGCAAGTTTGAAAACATTCAAGATGGTCTGATATTATACAAAATAAATGACGGAATTAAATCAAACAAAGTCCAAAATAATTTACTTAGAAAAGGAGCGGGTTTAACTTTAACTAAAGCGATTGACATATGCAGAGCTGAAGAAGTTGCAAATGCAGAAATGAAACAAATTACATACGAAAAAGATATTGAAGTGGTAAAGATATTCATAAAACCAAGACAAGCAAATGCGTTAATTGGACAAATACCAAAATGGAGAAAGTTCTCGAATAACGAAAATGAGTCAAAAGACTTGGTTGAACCAAACAAACAAAACTGGAAACAAATCAATAATGGCTCAAATAAAAAACAACAACAAAAACAGTACAAGAAATGCAATAGAAAACATGAACCAAGAAACTGTCTTGCATTCGATCAAACGTGCTGTAAATGTAATAAAATAAATCATTGGGCAACTTGCTGGAACTCGAAAAACATACACGAAAATTGCGCTGTAGAATACCATGTGGAATCTGTATCATCTGGTAAAATGAATGGTAAAAATGAAGCTTTGATAATCTTTAAAATTAATAATAAATTGGTGCATGGAAAATCTGACACTGGAGCTGAAGTTAATGTTATGCCAAAAAGAGTCTACGACCAACTAACATCATATGATGTTCTCACTTATAAAAATGTTAAACTACATGGTTATGGAAGAAATCATATTCCAGTGCTGGGAACATCAAATATGATGTGTTACTACAAAAGTCATAAAACATTGGTTAAATTTTATGTACTTGAAACAACAAGCAAATTAGTTCTTAGCTTACAAACTTCACAAGACTTAAAAGCTATCAAACTACTAGATGAAGTAAAAACAGTAGACACGAACGAAGCGAAATCGCAGCAAAAAGTAATATCTACTCTAAACAAAGTAAAACGGATTGAAGGAAAGCAAGGAAAAGAATTAAAAGAAGAAATACTAAAAATGTATCCAAAATTATTTAACGGATTAAGCGTGATTGGACCTAAACATCACATCGAATTGACTCAAATCCTGTTATTCATCCACCAAGAAAAATTCCTGTTACTTTGAGATAAAAAATAAAAACAGAACTGGAGTAATAACAAGAGTAGATGAACCAACAGAATGGGTAAATTCGCTAATAGTCGTAGAAAAATCAAATGGACAACTAAGACTCTGTATGGATCCAAGAGACTTAAATAAAGCTATAAAAAGAGAACATTATGAATTACCTACTTTTGAAGAAATATCAACTAGATTTTGTGGTGCAAATAATTTCACAAAACTAGACTCAAATAAAGGTTATTGACAAACTCCACTGGATAAAGATAGCTCTATGTTAACCACGATGAATACACCATTTAGAAGATTTAGATTCACACGTTAACCTTATGGTATACATTCGGCTCAGGAAGTATTCCATAAAAGAATTAGTCAATGTTTTGATGATAAGTGGAAACTGAAATTGATGATATTCTAATATAGGGCACAAAAGATGTAAGTCACGATGGGGCACAAAAGTCACAATAAAAATCTAATAAAATGCCTAGATTGAGCTGAAAAAATAGGAATGACCATAAATATTGTAAAATGCCGATTTCGAACAATAGAGTTGATATATTTAGCACACAAATTATCAATAAACGGAGTACAACCAGATGAATCAAAATTTAAAGCCATCAATGAAATGCCAAAACCTGAAGATAAAAAAGGAGTTTAAAGATTTCTAGGTATGGTAAACTATGTTGGTAAATTCCTACCTAATTTATCAGAAACAACAGAACCATTTAAAATCTAATTAAAAAAGGAACACACATGCAATGGGGCGAAGCACAAGATTGATCCTTCAGAAAAATTAAAAAACTGCTATGTTTGGAACAATGTCTTGCATTCTATGATATCCAAAAACCTGTAACGATACAAGTAGGCGCATGCAAAACTGGTGTTGGATCAGTACTTCTTCAAAATGAAAAACCAATTGCATTTGCATCAAGGTCAATGACACCAGCTCAATTAAATTATGCAATCATTAAAAAAAAATTCTCACAGTACTTTTTGAGTGTGAGCGATTTCACCAATATATATATATATATATATATATATATATATATATATATATATATATATATGGAAAAAAAGTAACTGTTAACAGTGATCATAAACAGTTGGAAAATATTATAAAAAAATATAAGCAAACACTCCTCCGCGTCTTCAGAGAATGTTATTAATATTGCAAAAATATGATATTTAATTTATAAAGCTGGTAAAAGAAATGATTCTGGCAGATACGTTATCTAGAGCTCATACCAATGAAACTGAAGAAGAAATTCTGGAAGATGAAATGATCGCTCAAGTGCATATGGTTTACGCAAACTGTTTATCATCAGAAGAAAACCTCAAAGAAATAAAAACAAACACGCTCAAAGATATTATGTTAAATGTAGTAGCAAACTACATAACAAATGGACGGCCGCAGGATAAAAGAAAGGTTGAAGACTCAGTAAAACCCTATCGGTTGTTTAAAGAGGAATTGACACTGATAGAAGGAATAATTTTCAAAGGACAAAGAATTTTAATTCCAACATCAATGCGAAAAGCAACAATTCAAAAACTACATCTAGCACACATGGGGATTGAAAAAACTAAAATGAGAGCAAGAGAAACTGTATTTTATCCAAAATATTTGTGTATTATACACAAAAAAACAAACTAAGGAGTTAATGATATCAAGTGAAATACCAAATCACTTGTTTCAAATTGTGGCAATGGACTTATTTCACTGGAGTAATCAGGATTTTATAATAGTGGTTGACTATTATAGCTGTTATTGGGAAATCGAAAGGTTACACAACATTCAATCTCAAACAGCAATAAAGAAACTAAAAATGATCTTCTCGAGACTCGGTATACCGCAGATAGTACGGAGCGACAACAGCACACAATTCACATCTTCAGAATTCCAAAAATTCAGTAAAGAGTGGGAGTTTAAACATATAACTAGTAGCCCTCAGTATCAACAATCAAATGGAATGGGTGAGAGACATGTGCAAATAGCAAAAAACTTGCTAAACAAAGCAAAAAGGTCAAATCAAGATCTATACATAGCTTTACTAGAGGTAAAAAACACTCCTGTTGACAGTCTTGCATCACCTGCTCAACTCATAAGTGGATGAAAATTGAGATCAACACTTCCTACTTCTCTGTCACTACTTCAAGTAAATCCAATCGATGTAAATAAATTTAAGAAGAATCATGAAAAAGTTCAAAACTTACAGAAGAAATATTATGACAAAAACGCAAAAACATTGGAAAACATGAGCGATGGAGACTGTTCATATACATGATGGAAATAATTGGCAACCAAGAAAAATTGTTGAGAGCAAACAGCAACAAAGTTTCAACGTAAAAAACTAAAATAGAAATATTGTTAGAAGAAACAGAAGACATCTACTAAAAACAAAAAAAAAAGTAGATTGGGATGTCAATTTATCCAACAATGGAAGCGATATGAATGAATCAAAAAACATATTCATGGATAAAAGAGAACTGTTGAATAACACAAACATTGATCCAAATACAAATCAAAATGAATCATTAGACCACAACATTATTGTCATGCAATCAGGAAGAATTTCGAGGAAGCCAAAACATTACATTGATTACAAAATGCATTTTTAAAAGAAGGAAGGTATAATGATTGTTACGCAAAACAATTCAGAATAGCAATTAGCGATTGCAAAACAAGCAATTCTCTTTTGCGAATTGCACAAAAACTGATAACGAAAGTATTTCCTTGAGAGAATTTTAATTACAATTGAAGTTTCGACGCGAAACTATACAGAGTTTTATATTTAAACTAATTGTAATAATTTAATATGAAAAATATTGAAATAAATATTAAGTAAAACCATAGTCGAATTCTCTTCATAATAAGTATAAAGACAAAACATTACAGCCCTAATGCTAAAACTTCCCACAAAACTATTTTAAAAATGGCTAAAAAAATCTAAAAAATTTCCCCCTGAAAGAATCCTAAAAGTTATAAAAAAAATTTATAAGTACTAAATTGTAGTCAAAGCAGATTAGAAGCTAGGGTTCAACTTTTTTAAAAAATGATCCATTTTTGAAATACTCTACCATACATTATTGGAGCATTTAGATTTTTGGCTGACAAGGTGTATGTTTGTCAAAATATACTCACTTCTTCTTGTAAGGATGAAGCAGTTGGTGAGATTTTAGATTTCTTCTTTTTTTTATGATTGCAACAGCAGCAACAACAAAAACAACTAAAAGAGGAATCAATACTGCTGCAACAATAATATGCTGTTTGCCTAAATAATAAAAAAGGTATTTTTTTAGTTTCATAATGTAAATACCAAATTAAAAAATTCAACTAATAAATTTAGAAAATAATAACAACATTTAAAAATATAACAACAATATATATATATATATATATATATATATATATATATTATATATATATATATATATATATATATATATATATATATATATATATATACATGTATATATATATATATATATATATAAATATATATATATATATATAAAAATATATATATATATAAATATATATATATATATAAATATATATATACATATATATATATATATATATATATATATATATATATATATATATATATATATATATATATATATATATATATATATATATATATATATATATATATATATATATATGTATGTATGTATGTATCAGGATCCAGCACTTTTAAGATATTTAACTTCATGACATAAAACAAAATCTAAAAATTTATATGTTTATACTTATATCAAATAAAGATGCTTTGCAAAAAATTGCTATGATTAAAGTCTAGGAACAAACAAGCCTTAAAATTTTGGCCACAACTGCCCCACAAGAAAGCAACAAGTTGATAAAGTATTTTTTATTATATTTTTAAATAAATTTATATTCATTGATAAATTACAAATTTCATACAATATTCTCTTAGTGTTCAAAAATTAGGACTATACAAAGTTTGAACCCCCTCAATATGGAAGGAGGAGGGAGGAGGTTACAAATTTTATAATGTTAAAATTAAATGCTTAGAGATTATTTTATGAAATTTAGAATTTATTGATGAATATAAATTTATTTAAGTATAGTACAAAAAATATTTTATCAACTGGTTGCTCTCTTGCTTGGGGCAGTTGTGGCCGAAATTTTAGAGTTTTTTTGTTCCCAGACTCCAATCATGGCAATTTTTAGCAATATAATATATATATATATATATATATATATATATATATCTATATATATATATATATATATATATATATATATATATATATATATATATATATATATATATATATATATATATATTGGTATATCTTGAGTTTCACGTTTAAAAAATTTTTTCATTTAAAATATCATCTTAGAAAAACTTATACTTAATATCATGTCTAATGAATTTTTTTATTATTACTTTTATTAAGTATTTTCAATACATTTTAGATATATAGCAATAGATAAAGAAATATATTTAATTTTTTTTTTATGAATTACCTTTTTGCATTATTACAGGAAAATCTTTTTTAAAATTTTTAGTGCAAACAAGTCTACATCCATCTCTACAACACTTTTCATCTGTTTTAACGCAATGGGAATCATCCTTGCAAATATTTATATCAGCCATTCGGCATCTTCCTAAATCTGCAACAATATCATGACATTTCCCAGGCCTAGGATTATCTATAATAAATATTTTTTATTATTAGGTAAAAGCTGAAATAATTCATTTGTAGCTTACCTACGAGGCTTTACAACCTTTCAAATTTCAAAGTAAACTTACTTGGTAAACCAAAAGTTAATGACGACAACAACGGTACTAAAAAAAACAAAACAGTAATACAAAAGTCATATAAACTAAAATTTTGGTAGGAATTTCAATTATAAAAATATATTGTTACCCTGACCCCATTGAAGAACCTAAAGGTTCTTAGCAAAAGTTTAAGATTTTTTTAAGGAATTGTGGGTTCATAATAACCTATATTAATTCTTTAAATAACAGAAATGCAAAGAACCCCTAAGGTTCTTCAAATTGATTTTTGGAAAACCTTAAATTACGAATCTTTAAAATCTTTACGAAACACCATTTTATTTTTCTAATCACTCTTATGTTAGTTTAAAAAAATTTTTGTAACTTTTGTAAAAAAATTTTTGTAACTTATGTTACACTAGCTAAGCTTTAATTTAACAAGATTAATCTCAATAGTGAATGATTATCACAATAATAAACAATTTGTGCTTTGAACATTCATGTAATTTTTATTCCTGCTGTTGACATAATAAAAAGCAATAATAAAAATAACTTTGTTGTTTTCTTAAAATATGAACATTTTTAATTTTAAATTATTACAAGCTGATCAGACCCATAAAAATCTCTTCCACATTAACCTTTTTTATACTTTTTCTTTATATATATACCCTAGCTGTCTAGACCCATAAAATATGGGTTTTTACCAAACCAACCAAAGAGTCGTTTCCGGGGGTTAAATTCCTCCCCTGAGCATAATAAATTTTTAAATTTTTATCAAAAAATTTATATCTAGCAAAAAAACTTTTGATTGTAAAAATAAAATTTTAAAGTTTTTTCATATAATAAATATATTATACATGATTATCAGCGTGGATGACAAAATATGCTTTGTATTTTTTCAATCTTGTCATTTTTTTTGAATACCACAACATAATTACAAAAAATTCAAAACAAAACAGTTCAAACAAAAAGACTTGTGATTATAAAAAAACTTTTCTTATATCCTATATAAAATGTTATAAGTGGATTTTTTTTCATTTACATATAACATATTTGTTTATTGTTATACTATGCTGTAATAGATGCAATAAAGCTGTGCTTAGAGAAGCTTCAAAAGTGTTAATTAGTTGCAATCGATATAAGAGTTTATAAAACGGTTTGCTTTTCAATTAAATTCATAAATTCGATAGATCAATGATTTAATGTGCTCCCATTGGCCTTATTTTGTGATGGTTTAAATCCACCCCTTGTAACAATTTATTTTAATCAGGCTATATATATATATATATATAGCAAAAAAATAAATATATCAAAAAACACTTTCAATTGTCAAAATAAAGTTTTTTCTAGCTACAGGCTTTTTTTTTTTTTTTTTCCCTCTACAGTAGGGTATTTTTTTTGAAAATTAAAGTAGTAAGGTAGTAAAGGTTTTTTCCAAAAATTAAAATGTGGAAAAGTTCAATTGTTATCATTATTTTTAGTTATTTAAATATTTTTATTTGTAATATATAACAAATTTAATATTTATTTATATATTTAAATAAAAAATAATATAACAAATAATTTTAATAAGACGTTAGAAAAAAAAGAAAAGATTAGTTTACTAATTCTCTAAACATTAAAATTTCTATTTAAAGATTGCACAGACAAAGTTTTACTTAAGTAAGTTTCCATTTCATTCAAGTTTATTTTTTGATTGTTATGAGACTTTGTGTAATTATAATAAAAAACAATTATAATAATTATAATAAATATAATAATTATAATTGTAATAAATATAATAATAATTATTAATATCACAATTATAATAATTATAACAAATATAATAAAAAATTGTTTAGTTTTATGCTACTGCGAGAAAGTAAACAACTTTCTAAATGAAGGTAACTTCTCATTTTTAATTCAAAAAGCCAACATCTTTAACTTGATAAAGAGTGATCCCATGAGAAAAAAAGAGGCTTGAAAAGAGGACAAAGCACTGCCTCAAAGGACGCACGGTCAAGATGGCGGGAATTGATAACACACTTCAAAAAAATGCTTGTTTGGCTATGGAGAAAATTAGAATAATGGAGGAAAAAATGCGCTTAAAAGATGAAAAGCTCAGAAATCAAGAGGAAAAGAAAAAAAGAACTACAACAAAGAGAGTTAGAAGTTTCTTGGTACACAGGCAACGATAGTCTTTCAGACTCTGAAGAAGCTTTTATGCCTCCTACAAAGACCCATAAGATTTTAGGGAAAGTAAAAGTTAGTCTTCAGTTAAGTATGGATAAACTCCTAAACAATTGAATCCTAATCATGACAAGATATGGTATTGGTGTTCCACCATGAACCTGTTTGTTGAAATCTCTTTATAAAGGAGGTGACATTAATATTAAGGAGTTGAAGATCTCAAGATCAATTTTGACCAGGAAAGCACACACTGTAGTAGAGTCAGAAGCCCAGATCATCCAAGAGCAGAACATAGAAAAAGTATGAGGTTTAAAGCTAGTGATTCACTTTGACACTAAAATTGTAAGGCTGTACACCAGTAAACAAGCAATTTCCACAAGTCATGAAAGGATAGCTATAAGCATTTCTTCTCCTGTAGCTGATCCTTTAGATTTTCAGCTTGGCATTTTAAAAATTAAAAGCTCGAAGGGAAGCTACCAGGCTATAGCAATTCAAAGTATCTTCAAATTGCTGTGTGTATTGACACCACAGCTAGCAACACAGGAAAGAACAATGGATTATTGCTCATGCTTTGGGAAGGCCTGTTCTCTGGTGAATGTGCAGACATCACATATATGAGAGACATGTGTCTCATGTCATGGAACTTGTTTTTGGTACAACAAAAAGTCCAAGCAAACACCTTTATGTTTTACTTCAGAAGCTATGGCCCTAAATACACAGAGAAGTTAATAAACTCGAAAGAACTCTCAAATTTGAATGGTCTCAGGATAGATTTAGACCAGATACTTTTTTGCACCGAATTGCAGTTGTAACTAAAGAATTTTGCACCACAGCACTTCAGAAAAACACTTTCCAGAGAGGAGGCTACAAATATCTTTGCCAGCTACTGGCTTACTTCCTGGGTGCAAATATACCTAGTTTCTTCTTTAGGCAGCTGAGAGCTCACCACAAAGCCAGGTTTATGAGTGAGTGTCTTTACCTTCTTGTCCTGCAGATGGCACGGAACTATCATCTGAATGATTCAAAAGCTCCTTTAATTGACCAAAGAGCTTTTAGGATAGCTTACCAGTTCCAAATAAGAGATAATTACAAAGCCTATGCAGATATTGTGAAAGTTCTCAATAAAAACCTTCTACGGCACACTTAGTATCTAGCTCCCCAGCTTGTGGTTTTGTCTCTTGTTGACAGGAATCTAGATGCCCATATTAAGAACAACATCCTTAACAAATTGATGTATTTTGCCGCTCCAGAAAAAAAAAATATGGTGCTTAAGAAACCTGGAATCCAGTCAGTTGTTGTTCCAATGTCATCTGTTGATGATTTTGTCACTGAGCAAAGCTATCTTCTCTTTTTTCGCCTAGAAATTACTAAGAAAGAGCTTTTGCTGTGGAGGGAGAAAGCTATAGCTGCTTGCAAAAATGAGAGTTCCTAAGTCATTTGTCAAGTTCTCTACTTGCGCAAATCAGTTTGCAGTGGTAAATAATTGAGCAGAATGTCACATAAAGCTGATCCAAAACTTTATTGGAAGGATAGATAATGAGGATAGACTTCAGGATTCTCTTCAGGTAATTATGAAACATTATTATACAGACTTGTAGCGTGTAAATTATTAGGGGTAGGGTATCATTTTTATTCTATCAGATCAGGCAATTTAGAAAACCAAACACTTATGCTCATTTTTAATAACAAAAAAAGGAAGTCAATATCACCTAACAATTTACACCTAACAGCCTCTTACCCCACCCGATTTATGTGTGTGCTATACAATAATGTCCGTATAGTTGTTTAAAGTATTTTCATATCATTTTATTTATTAAAATTAACTATTAATTTTAAATACTCGGAATTCTATTTCACTGTTTTACAAAATAACCTGCCTTTTTAAGTTTATTCTTTATTTTTTATTTTGTTTGCTAATCTCTGAACCAATAAACTCGTTTCGTTGACAAATACTATATCTATATCTATTAAAATAAACAATATCTATTATATAAGATATAGAAAACTATATTTATCAAGTAAGGATGTTTTTTTGCTTCACTTCTTTGAATGTCTTTCATTTTACAGATGGTGAAAATCATTTTTCCATTAATGATTAAAGTTTTTATTTTATTATTATTTTAACAAAAATATTTAATATATTATTATAATAAGGGATTGTCCATAAATTGCGCAACACAAAATATATTTAAAATACAGAAGTAGGAGACACTAAGCTCTTTTACGCTGTGATTTTCGTTAAACTTAATGGGCTAATTCAATTTTATATTTAAATTAAGATTCTGCCAGAGAAAACCTTTGATTTTTTTTGTTTTGTTTATTGTAAAAGTTTGTGTTACGTAATTTATGAACAATGCCTAATATTATCATAATATATTATAACTTTATATTTAACTAAGAATATTTTTTTTTAAATGCATTTAGTCAAAATTTTTTAATTTTTCTTTCAATCCTTTTATTTATTTTCTTGTAAGTTTTGCTACAAATTGTAAAAAGATAAATGAATGATTTATAAATAAATTTAAAATTACTAATTGCGCGTTGGTGTCCTTAATTTTTATTATAATTATTATAGGTTATTAAAAACAAATACATATTTATCAAAAACCTTGGTTTAAGTAATTTAGTAAAAGTATTTTTTATAATATTCATAAAACAATAGTCTTCTTAGTATTTAAATATTCTGTTTAAATAGTATCTGCAAAGTGAGAGTTAAAAATATTGTTAACTAAAAGATGAGTACGCTAGTTTTTCTTCTTAAATAAAAGCGCTAGTTTTTCTTCTTTAACATTAAATTAAGGTTCTTAGAGATTAAAATTTTATATTTTATTATTAGAAATTATTGTGTGTAATTAAGAACATTATCTCAACAGTACTTTTTTTTTATTATTCAATTATTTCAATTATTTTTATAGTAGCTTTTCCTATTTATGAAGTTACTGCAATGAAATGAATTATTTTTAAATAAATGAAAATTATTGATTGCTTGTATTCACTTTTAAAAATAGTATTAATTTTATTTTAAATTATTATTAATAACAAAATGTATATAACTATTTTAAAAACTAATTTCGAAAAAAGAAATAAATGAATATAATGCACGATAATGAGGTAGCAAAAAAAAAAAAGAAGGAAATGAAATTACTTACGTTTACTGTGTAATTTAGATGCTTTAAACGCAAATCTTTTTATTTTTAAGCATCAACTTATTTTTGTATTTAGTTGTCATGAAGAAATATTACTAATATAAAAATTTAAACAAAGAAAAAAAAAAAATTTTGACTGCCCAAAAAAAAAAAAAATTGACCGTCAATTCTTTGTGTTGGCCGGTTGAATTGACCACTTGCTTTCTATTTCTTATTTTCCATGCTGGAATTACTATACCTTAACTTAGAAATTGCAATGGATAATTATTTTATAAACTATAATATTACTTTGTTAATCTCCATTTTCTTTAAAAAAACATAATACAAATTAGTATTTTGTATATATATTGTGGCAAGATGAATGTATAATTTGGCAATTAAAGTACTTTAAGGTACATATCTTTTTTATTAGAAAAAAAATCTTATTTTACACTAGCAAAAAAACTAAATAAATACGCTATTTTGTCTAAAATTCAATTCAATAGAGAAGATAAATAATAAAGATTAATTAATTACAGAGGTCAAAAAAAAATGTGTTGCATTTATTTTGACATTTTATCTTACTTAATTTTGATACACCAAATTAAAATCTAACATTTTTTGCAAAACAAAAATTTCCAAGATATTTCTGTAAAACAGATTTAAATTCATTTATAAACACAAGGGTATGATTTAAATTAGAGATAACATGAATAGTGATTTTGCTGAATACTGAATATTTGGTTAGACACTCAGCCATAACACCCAATATTTGGTGACAATAGGCATTTTTGTTTCATTTGTGACTAGGCCGTGTCACAGAACACGCTATTTTTTGACTGTTACATCAAATTGTTTATTTTGTATTGTAAACATACAAAACAACACAAACATATATAAAAACATAAGCATACATAAAAACATAAGCATGCATAAAAACATAAGCATGCATAAAAACATAAGCATGCATAAAAACATAAGCATGCATAACAACATAAACATACATCAAAACATAAGCTTACATAAAAACATAAGCATACATAAAAACATAAACATACATAAAAACATAAGCATGCATAAAAACAATAGAAAGGCATAAGCATAATGCAAAAAAAAAACAACAACAAAAGCATAGAATCAAACATAAGCATATTATGAAAATAAACAGTTAAAACAATTAAAATATCATTTTCTGCAAAAACTTTTAAAACCTTTATACAATTTTTTTTATAATGAATGCAAATTATATTCATAGCTTAGACTTCATAGCTTTTATAAACTTACTTGTATCTTCATTATTTTTTTTTATGTATTTAGATTTCACACCTAAAAAAAAAAAATATCTTTGTTCATATAAAAAAGTTCAAAAATATTACTGCATAACACCAAAAAAAAAATTTTTATTTATTAACAATGTTTTTAAGGCTTATTATTTTTACTGTTTTTTAGCAAAAATTTTTTACAACAAACTTTTTTATAATTATAATCTTTGCAAAACTTTTTAAAAAAATAATTCAATATTTTTAATATAAATTCAATATTAATGGTCAAAAAACACCCCTTTATAAATAAAAAACTCAAAATATTTAATCAAAATAAAACAACTTTAACTTTTCAAAACAGTCTCTTTATCTAAACATTTTATTCTATAAGAGAGACTTGTGTACCTAGGAAGTACTTGTACCTTAGTAGGCATCAATTGTGCTGCCTTCTTAAAAGATGAACTAAAAAAGTAAAACATTAGTTGCACGTATTGGCCACTAGAGGCTCATAGGAAGTAACTACACCAGTTTTCAACACATGTGTTGTTGAAGTAAAAATAAGTTTGTTTAGCATACCAAAAATTAATTTATTTATAATTAATATATTTTCTTTTTCCCCATAAGAGTAAGCACCAACTTTATTTTTAAACTGATAATACCAAATTGTAAAGCATACAATAGTTAAAATCGGAACAATGAAAAATTCAAAAAAATATAAAAAAATAATTAAACTAATGCATAATATGCAAACCTTCAATATCTATTTAATCTAAGGAACTTGAAGATTATAAAAATGCTTTTTATTTAAATATTTTTCATTATTTCAAATAAATAAATGGACATTTGCACTAATCAACAACATCAACTTTTGCACAGTGTCTTTGGCAATTTTTATTCTTACTAATGTTCACTCTCTTATCTAATTTTTAGCTGCACTTATTGTTTTGCCAATAAAAACTTTTTATTATGCAATCATCTTTTGCTAACTCCCCAAAATTTCTAAATGAGACGGAACTGTGGGCAGTTTGATGGATTCAAGCTTTTTGGTATAAATTTGATTATAAGTCTCTATTAAATTGTACCACTCTATTAAATTGTACCATCTTCTTAGAATAATGAAAAGAAGCAATATCAGGCTAGAACTAACAGGAGACATCAGTCAATGAAGTCACATTTGATGTACATTCGTCATCCATTAGCATTCAGCCATTAAATTTTGTAAGCACTTTGTCATAAAGTTTTTGAGCAGTTTTTGTCATAAAGTTTTTGAGTTTTAGCAGTCAGTGATTGCTTATCTAATCAGTTTAGATATTTAAAGGCTCAATTAGACTTGAAATTGTAAAATTTCTTAAATTTCCTGTCAGAAACTTTATACCTTTTGGCTTGTTCTCTGTTCAATAAGTCGGGATTTTGCGTGAACTATCATTGACTACTAATTGTGGCTTTCTTATCCTTAAAACCACTCTTTCTTCCAGATCCTTTTGCTCTTTTTATAGATAGAGAGCTCTTGTATTGTTTTATGACCATATAAATTGTAGTTTTGCTAGATTTAGCGATTGAAAGTGACGATACAGAAGAATTTGTAGATAATTTTTTCATTTTTTAACTGTTTTGATATTTTAATTAAGATGAATATTTCGACTCATTTTTTGATGTTTTTAATTAATAGTACTATTACTTAATATAATTACGTAAAAAAAAAGAATTTTAAAATTTATTAGTGACAAGTTTTAAAACAAAATTTTTTGTTCCGAATTTAACGATCTCATGCTTTATTCAGCTAGACTTTTTGAAACTGGTTAACTTTTAACTTAAAGGTAGTAAATGATGTGAACCTTGATGGTACGACTAAGATACACACTTGAGTAATTTTGTAAATATTAGGAGTAAAATTTGTTTGAAAGTATTTCTTTTATGTTATGTATTGTTATGGTTACTTAAAAAGTATTACTCATTCACTATTTTTTTATGGTTGGAAAGGATTGGTTGAAAATCTTCCAAAAAAATATTCTAAAGAACTATTGCTTAGAAAACTTGAGCCAACAAGCCTGGCTCGATCTGCTTTCAATAGGGAAAATATAGTAACTACCTTTAAGAACTATAAAGTAGCTCTTGGGCTTGAATAAAATTGAAGTATTACAGTTTTTAACGTATAAAATGTTGACAAAGAGTTAATTCTCACAAAATCTCAAAAAAAGGTCAAAAGTAGGTTGGTGGCACAATTAGCGGTGAATGAGGGTATAGTAAAAAAATGATTGGTGCAATAGATGCAGGAAGCAGCAATATGCTTAAGTATAAATATTGAAGACTAAACTAATACTTAGGTGACTAGCTATAGTCCTGTTTCTTTTGAAAATCAGATAAGCACTAACATGTCTCTAAAAATCTAACATTCTAAACTAAAAAATCATACATCCTAATTTCCAGTCCTGTTAAACTTCAAATTAAAAAGGAAAATGCTGACAGAAAAAAAAATTTACATCAAAAAGAAAGGCAACTTATAAGAAAGTATTGGTATCTGTTTTAAAGAAAAAACTTAACTTAGAGTCTAACTTTGACTTAGAGCTAGATTCAGTATTTAAGGAAAATGAAGATAAACTTTCTTCCAAAGAAACTACTCATTCAGAAGTTGACTTTGCAGTTTTTGAAAAAATCCAACCTGGAGTTTTTATCTTGGCATAATTTCAAGATAAACTTTGAAACACTTTGAAGCAGAGTTACTAGAAGTTGCTGACACAGTTGCTGATATTTCTTCAAAGAGAAGAAAAAACTGTGCATGAGGTGGACATCTCCAACACAGTCTTGCCACATCTCTCTGTCACAGAAAGTTAAGCACGACAGCTGGGAAAACTGGCAATACCTTTGATTTCCTGAATGTGGAATAGAGAATGTGGAATAGAGAATACAGAATGTCACAGTGAAAGACTTAATAGTACTAAACTTAACTTTAATGCAACTTTAATTTAAAATATTTTCTTAATAAACTTTTTTTTATTTTTAATTTTCAATTTTTCAAATTCTTTTAATACTTCTAAGTTTAAATTTTTACTAACTTAAATTAGACTTATGTAAAGTCTTAAACTAGGCAAAGAAAAAACTTTACAAAGAAAATAGTTAGTTGTATAAAAAATAAAAATAAAAAAAATTTAAATTGCAGATACAAATGGTTTGCTAATTCTAATCATTTTTCAATATGTCATTTTTCAGGATCTATAGACTGTTTATTGAAAAAAAGGCGTTTTTCGGGGTAAGCTAACAAAATTTTCACGGCAAGCTCAACTTTGGCTCAAATTTATTTTTTACAAAAAACAAAAAAAAATTTTTAGGTTTTTTTTTTAAAAATGGTCTGTTTCGACTTATGAAATTAATTGGTACCAGCTAAAAGTAATATTAAAATTTTTGCCAAAATATATAGTAAAAAAAAATTTCTATAAATTTTGCACTTAAGTATCATTTTTTATAGTTTGCATCAACTTACCTTGGGGTGGTGTAGGTTTGCAAACTTTTTTTTTATAATGAATGCAAGTTCAAAATGTTACCTATACTCTTTAATATTTACAACAAATCTTACCATAAGGGCAATAGACCTCAAAGAGTAAAAACTAAGACGACTAGCCTTGGTCTCCCCTATCTTAGCTGTAGTATATTTTTAAAAACTAAAAAATGGTTAAAGAAAAGATCTGGGTGATTAAAAAAAAAACACAATATACATAATATAATTAACTTAAAGAAAAAATAGTTTTACAGAGTACTTAAGTACTTTTGTCAAAATTTGAAAATTGTTCTGAGGTGCATGACTCTCTCATAGTTGAAAACTCTCTTATAACCTCTCTCTCTCTCTCTCTATATATATATATATATATATATATATATATATATATATATATATATATATATATATATATATATATATATATATATATATATATATATGTGTATATATATATATATATATATATATATATATATATATATATGTATATATATATATATATATATATATATATATATATATATATATATATATATATATATGTATATATATATATATATATATATATATATATATATATATATATATATATATATATATATATATATATATATTCTCTTATAACCTCTCTCTCTATATATATATTATATATATATATATATATATATATATATATATATATAATATATATATATATATATATATATATATATATATATATATATATATATATATATTCCTCTATATATTCTACTTGAAAACTCTCTTATATTTATAATAATAAAACTATGATTACATTATTGACTTAATTTTACACTCGAAAAGCTTATTAGCATAGTAAACTATGTTCATTAAAATACAATTTCAAACAAAATATAAAAACTTTGCAGATGTCAGACTAATTTTACTTTTTCAAAATATAATTTTCTTCTTCAAAATATTAAGAATAAATAGGTAACAAAGCATTCAATATTAATTTTTAAAATTTATTTTATATCAGTTATCTGCCCTTTGTTCTTAACATTTCTCTTTATTTTAGATTGATTGCATGAATGCAGAGAGTTTTTAAAAGTATTGCAGAGAAATGTCCTTTTAATTTTGTCATCATTTTAGGATTTGTATAATAGGTTGAGATCTGGGCTGTTGCTAGGCCACTCCAACACAATTTTTTTGATGTAAGGCGAGGTGTACAACTTGCATTAGAAAAATTAATTTAAGAGTTTTGAACAGGTTTAGAAGGTTTTGTTCTTAACACCTTATAAAATGTTTAGAATTCATTGTTTTATTTTTAGGAAGAATATAAAGTGTTCCTGCCACAGATAGAAAAAAAAAGCTAGGCATAGGCATGGACACCAGAACAATGGTTATGTTATATCATGTTGAATAAAGACTATTTTTTACTGATATGTAGAGACCGAATCAAGTAAGCTGCCCTAGTGGTTCTGACTGACTCAATCTCAAACACATACAAAGTACTGTTAAAAACAGTTTGCATGTAATGGTTTGGAGTTGCAGTAAGGGGAAAGGAACACCAGAATTTCTTCCTAAAAATGAAAAAATAAGTTCTTAACACTATATAAGGTGTTAAGACCAAATCCTTTGAGACCCTTTTGAAATTCATCAAATAACTTGAAACAATCAAAAACACAATTTTTGAGCAAAGCAACTATTGTGTTGGGGTGTCTCAACCTAGACATAACCCAGTAGAAAACAGTTGGACTGAAATGAAAACAAAGATTCATTAAACAATTAATTATATAACACAACAATTTAAACATGCGCTATAATATATTAAGCTATTTTAACATAAATTATGTTTTAAAAAATACAATTAATATTATAAACAGGGCTGTGGAGTCCGAGTTGTGGAGTCCGAGTCGCAACATTTTTAGAGGAGTAGGAGTCGCTAAACAAAACTCCAACTCCAATAGTAAAACTTCTCGGTATTGCAAATGCATGTGCAAAATATTTAACCATCAAAAAAAAGTTGAAAATTTTTTTCTAATTATTGCATAATATTTTATAAAAAATTCAAAGAATTTTCAAAAACTATGCTTTGGAGTCGGCATCGGAGTTGTACTCTAAAAATTTCAACAATTGGAGTCGAGGGGTGTTTAGTCATTTTTTACGACTACACACCCCTGAAAAAAAAACCTACCATATAAAGCCTTTATTCCTAAGATATCATCATTGCTAAACCTGGTTATATTTTTTTGAATAAAGTCTATATTCATGACTGCATCCAAGACAGTTGTGTGAGCCAAACCTAAACTGTGTCCAATTTTATGAACAGCAACACGAAATAACAAATCTGTAGTGAAATTATATTCATTATTTAAATGAATATCACCTGAATTCTCTAAAGTAAAGGTAAATAAATTTAAACTTTACAGTTAAAAAATGAACTTTATTAGACAAACTGAAGATTACCTTTGCCCTCCTTAGGATAAAATGAATGTGCATAGTTTTGATAGTTCAGTTCTTTAAACTGATAATCACCATGTTCCTTTTCTACAAACTTTATCTCTATGTCTGCTTCACTTTTTAAACTTAAATTAAGTTTTTGAAATTTTAAGTTCGAATAATCTTCCCATAGATTAAAAGCTTTTTGTAGTGTATTTTCTGCATCATTGCGTGTTAAGCTTTTATTATTAATATTCCAAAGTCTCCAAGTAATATTCTAAATGTAAAAAAACTTTAAAAAATGTAAAATTTTAATTTAAAAAATAAAGATTTTTTTTTAGTCTAAAAGAAAAGAATCATAACAGTTTTATTCCATTTGTCTCCTTGAAGAACATATCTTCTAGCTCTTTTGCCTTTTTTATCTGAATTGTCTTTGCTTCCATTAAACAAATCTTTGATTAGATTTTTAGAAGGTGCAGTTAGAGTGTCAGTTAATGGTGCATACTCATGAAATTTACTATATTCAATATTATTTTTTTCTCTGATTAAAGCAACATCCACAATGTTTTTATTGTCATCGCCAAAACAAGAATGGTTATTCTGCAATATAACAAAAAACACTACACAAATATAATAAGAATAAATCATATCTTACTAAAAAATCTTACTAAAATCCTTCATTTAAAAAAGTACTTTAAAATCCGGTTTAATGAATGACATAAAAACATTTGACTAACAACAAACAACAACAAGATATTTATTTTCCTCAAAATTTACAATCATATAATAACATTATTATAATAATAATAATAATAATAATAATAACAATAATAATAATAATAACAACAATAACAATAATAAAAATAATAAGAATAAGAATATCTATAATAGTATAAATAATAAAATAAAAATATAATTATTAAGAATAAATATAAATAATTGATTGAGGAAAGAGTCACTCATGCAGAATCCTGATCAAAGAAGTAACACCAAATAATTATACTAATAATATCAATTTAAAAATAAAAATAACAATAATAGAGTAAAAGTAACAGCAAAAATAACAGTATATATTGTAATAATAATAGTAATAATAAAAACAGCAGTAATAAAAGTAATTAATAAATATTAATGACAAAAACAATAAAGTTTCTATTGAAGTAGTAAGAAAAAAAAACAAGAAAAAAAAGGAACTTAATAATGATAAAAAATTACAATAAAATTTTTTTTAGAATTCGTTTAAATTTATCTTGTTTTAAATAAAGAAATGAAGATAAATTATTTTTAAGTTTTACCTTTTCAAACTCATTCACAATGCACACAAGACTTCGATTCCAATCACTGATGCACTGATGTGTAATTGAATACTTACCATACCTCAAAGTTTTATAAGGAGGTACATTTAGTTTTCCATTACTGATGTTTCTAGTTAAATGTGAATTGTAGTTAAATGTATAAATCGAGTTTCAGTGAAGAAGGTTGTAATAGAGGAAGGTAAATTTTTATTAAGGGAGTCAAAAAAAGATTAGCAAATTTAACTAATGCAGGAATTTTAAGTTTTTTGAAGAATTTTGAAGTTTCTGTATTATGGAGTTGAAAATTAATTATTCTGACTAATTGGCGCTGAGCTGATAATTTATTAATATTACAGTTGCCAATTTGTCCTTAAACTTGACTACAGTAGTTAAGATGAGATTGAAAAATTACAAAATACAGATTCTTAAGGGTATTTTTATCAACATAATAGCAAATTATTGAAAGCATGCTATTAGCTCGATTAAGTTTTTTACGGCGTGCATCTATATGAAAATTCCATGAGAGGTTCGAATCTATAAAAATACCAAGATATTTAACGCATGTTGGATATAAACATCTATTATTAATTTTAATTTTAGTTATATGATTGTTGTATAAAATTTTTTGTCTTGGAGATGAAAAAAATATTAGTTCAGTTTTTTCCGATTTCAGAGATTTTAAGTTTGCATTTAGCTAATGAACTAAACCTTTTAGGTCTAAGTTTATATTCTTACACAACTGATCATTTCATAAGTGGTGTTTTTATTGACTTACAAAAAGGAATGATGAGACTTATCAATATGCAAGATATTAGTATCATCAGCAAACAGATGGACTGATGAGAAGCAGACAGTTATTTACATCATTAATATAAATCAAAAACAATAAAGGGCCAAGAACAGAACCCTGGTGAACACCACAAACTATATGTTTGTTATTTTATTTGTAACCATTAATTCTAACAAACTGCTTTCGATTTGAAAGATAAGATTGAAACCAGTTACAAGCAACTTCTCGTATTCCATAATGTTCAAGTTTAAAAATTAAAATGGTATGATTAACGGTATCGAATGCTTTTTGTAAGTTGATAAAAACACCACTTACGAAATGACCAGTATCCAATGCCTTTTTTATTTTTTCGGTTATACTTATTAAAGCGTGTCAGGTAGAGCGTTTTGATCAAAATCTAAACTAAAATTAATTTAAACAGTTAAAAGAATTCAAAAATGAGTATAATCTAGAGTACATTCCTTTTTCAAGGAGCTTGCTTATGTTAGAAAGAATTGAAATTGGTCTATAGTTAGTACATGTGAGCTTTGAGTAATTTTTATATACTGGAATGCAACAAGATAACTTCAAAATGTCAGGAAAAATTCCATTTAAGAAGGAGATATTAAATAGCTTAGAGAGAATATGAGAAAATTCAGAATTAAAATCAATAAGAATGATTTCAGAACTATTACAACCTCTAATTGCAATGAGCTTAATTCTAAGGTTTCAAGTCATGCTAAACATGTTTTTTATGTTTTCCAATATTGAAAAATTTATATAAAAACTAATGTATAAAACATAACGTATTAATTATTTAATTGACAGAGTCAATAAGTAATAAGTTGACAGTAAAACAAGTATCATGAAGAATCCTCTCCTTTTTGTAAAACTCAAGGTTCTTCCTTTCATAAGCCCATATATTTAACTAATTTTTCCTAGCTTATTTTTTACTTATTAATATTTTCTCAAGACATTTTTTTATATGTTAAAAAAGTAACACAATTATGTTGATAACAAGTTCAAAATAATAATATTAAAATTTTTAGTAACAGAAAATTTTAAAAAAAGAAAAAATAGGTAAAAGATACAAATAACAAAAAAAAAATATTTCTACTTTTTTATTGCACTTTTTCTTCTTTCTTTCTTTTTTCTTTATTTTCGATATTTCTTTTAAGTTTAGTGTAATTTTTCTGTTTAATCCTTTTTAAAGAAATAAACATAAGCAAAATAAAACAAAATTCTTCAATGACTCATTAAATTGATATTCAAAGAATAAAACAAATAAGAAATAAATGTTTAAACCACAGTTGTTGAGCATTTTTTTACAGTACACAGTGGGCCAGAGGTGAGCATAACCCTTCAAAACCAACTTTTATATGGGAGTAATTTATTTTTGTAAATGTAACCTAGAGACCCACAGCACTCTAAAACTGGTATAATTTTTTCCCTACTGTGATTTCTGAGCTTAATGTTATAGTTTTACTACAAAAATTGCAACCTTTCAAATATTGGTGAAAATGTAAAAAATTCATATAAAAATGAAAAGAGGCCAGCAAGACAATTTTACAAAATTTTAATTTCTTGACAGTTTTTATTAGTCCATTGACATCATATATTGAAATAATATAAAGAAGAAAAAATATGAATTATTATTTATTTTATGCTTACATTTTTTTAAAGTATTTTTCAATAAAACCCCTTAATATGCACAACCTTTTTTTCAACTCTTATCTTTACTCAAGCAGAAAACACTAGATTGCACTAGGTCGCACATGAGATATATATATATAAATTTATAACCAAATTTTTTGAGCTCAGCTGAGCGCAGTAGGTGCTAGGTTTTTTATTATAAATGACAACCAATCATAGATTTTTCTTTAAAAAACTGAAGATGACGAAAAGAAAGAACAGAATTCAATCATTTAAATCTTGTTAAAATCTTTTTTTAAATACTTTTAATGTTATTGTGAAAAGTTATGGAACATTTTATGAAAAAGGATGGTAATAAGCCCTAAAATTTCATCACGTTCACCCCCCCCCCCCCCAAACATGAGGGCAACAAGTTGATAAAATATTATTTATACTATTCTCAACTAGACTTATTTACATTGATAAATTTTAAGTTTCATAGTATTATCTCTTAGCCTCAAAAAATATGACCATATAAAGTTTAAACCTCCTGCAATTTGAGGGAATTTTTATTTTATATGGTCATAATTTTTGAATGCTGAGAAATAGTACTATGAAATTTTTACTTTTATATATAAACCACTTTGTACACAAAAATTGTTTAAAAATAAATTAGCAATTGTGTTGCAATGTTTCTGATTAATTTCAAAATAGTAAATTCAGAACCTAGCAAAAAGATGTCACTCAAGGACTTACAACAAACTTCATTTTTTATTGAATGAAATAAAACAAAGCAAAAAAAAAAAAAACTCATTGGCTTACATTGTCTGGTAGAATTTTGAATTTTTTTGATTTAAAAAATTATTTTCATTATATTCATTTCTACATACTTAACCAGCAATATATATCAAAGACATTTTGGTATATCAGAAATCAAATTACTTCAAAATCAAGTACTTCAAAAGTTTGCTAACGTCTTTGTTATCTCTAACTTTTTCAAATTTCTCAAGTTTTACTTCAAAAAATTTGAACTTATTAAATCTCAAGTTTAAAAATTGTTAAATTTAAAACTAAATTTAAACTATATTTAACTCTTGAATATTTGAGAAAAAATGCAGATGATTGAAATCATTTTTGCATGGCCTTCATTCTTTATTTAAAGGTGACTTTCGTGTCACTGCTATAAAAGATGAATGGATCTTCTCAGATTCAGATTTAGCTTTTTTACGTTCTGTTGTTGCTATTAAACCTGATAAAATTAAAGTCTACAAATAAAAAATTGTATAAATCTTCAACTGTTATAAATATTATTATTTTTAGGGCAACTGTTATAAATAAAGTATTATTTTTAGGGTTTATGGTTGTTACTAAGTATTTTTTCAATTGCACTCGAACTACTTTTACAACCCTTTAATTTTTTGAAGAACTTTGTTATTATTATTCATGGTAACTCTTGAGGTAGAAAACATCACATATAGAAAAATCAAAATTGCCACATAAAATTAATCGCATAGAAGATAGATAAGTATCAGAAATTGATGACTCTAGTTTTTCTAAATTATCAAACATTTCACAACTTGTTTCACATAAAACATATGTGCAAGAAGTACACTCATAACCTGAACTAAAATCAAAAGAATCTATGGCGATATTTAATGATAACAACAGTGATATGTGATTTATATGCAATTTTTCCATAAGTTGTTGGACATTTATAAAGCAGACACAAACAGAATCTTGTTTCATTTTCCCAAATTCTTTTTCTAAATAGTCACTTGTAAATATACCAAGAAGAACATAATCATGACTAGTTGCTAATAAATTTTTACATAGCTCAATAGTGCTGTAGCAAATCTGGTGAAGCAATTTTGGAGATTAGTAACTGCTTAAATCTTTTGCCATTTTTACAACAAATTTCAACATATATCACCATATCACCTAACTGAAGTAGAATATTAAAACAGCATTTATCAGGACTAGAAATAGGTGTTTCTAATGGATCATTATGTCTTACATCAGCTCTACGACCTTTCACATTTGATATTTTTTACCAGGTCATTATTTTATTTATAAATACTGCAGAATCCTTAAAGGTTGAAGTTATTTAAGAATGGTTCAGCAAGATATGATTTATATGAAAAAACTTTGACTTAGGAGCTATTGCGATTTCATTTGTCTGACAATTTGACAACTTTTCTGATTTTAATTAATATAAGCATTAAAGGTGTTTCCACGTAGCTGTTCTTTGAGTATCATTATCATGTATACTAGTTCCCCAGTTTTTTCTGTAGGTCATAGATTTCTAATGTTTTAAAAGATGAACAAAGTCAAACAGTAAACACATCTTTTGTTTTACAAGGTTTTTCTGGAATAGTACAATTTAACTTTAAAAATGCTTGGTTAAAACAATTACCATCACAGACAACAAATTTGACATCACTAGAAGATGATTTTATAAGTCTGATGTTTACTTGTTCAAACAGAAAATTTGAACTTAATTTTTAAATTGGAATCTTCTTATGCAGTAATTCCCAACACAGTTATAGCCAATAATGATGAACCATCTATAGATTTACCAAACAATGTTCCTCCATGTTAAAGCATCATTTATTTGACTTCATCATGAATAATTATACAAATTTTTTATTTCTTTAATTATTTATTTAACTGCATAAGAAGTTGGAGGTTCCAACTATCAGACATTTCTAGTTTTCATAAATCTAAACCATATAAAAATTAGAAAGTATGGAATAAATAATTGAATTAAA